TATATATATATATATATATAAGTAAGTAATAGTATATACTATATATATATATATATATATATATATATATATATATATATATATATATATATATATATCAATTTAGTAACAATTAGGTGAAATTATCAACCTTAATGATACCAATATATGATACTAATTTAGTATTAGTTAAGCAAAATTAGTTGTGGGGGGTATATAGTGTAAATTCGACTATATAGTAGCAAAACTACATGCATCTAAGTGTAAAATATGTAGAAGACTCTACATTAGTTGTAAGGTACATAACATTTTGAAAGTATAAGTACAATAGTATATGTGGTAGTAGGAGTGGACAAAATTAAACTGGAAACTGCATCAAAATGTAAACCGAGAAAAAAATCCAACTAGTAATTCAATTTGACTTGATTTGGTATTGAAGAAAAAAAATTCGACTATATTGGTTGGTTTCTTTTTAATCTTTAAAAAGTCATCCCGACAAGTATACATAATTTTTAAAAATTATTTTATACATAAAAGTAATTTACTTTGATATAATTTATAATATTTCTTATACATTTTCATAATTTTTATCTTTTAACATATTATTTCAAGATTGACTTAAAATTTTGAATAGTCCAGTAAAAGTTATATTTCATAGATAGATATTAGTAATTTTAACAAAACTTAAATCTAAATCGAATCAATACAATTGCTAACAAAAAAAATCAACTCATATACTAAGAATGACAATAATGTTGAATATTTATTCTTTAGTTATATATTGGTTTGGACTTATTTTAGCATGATTTATAATTTAAAAGTATGATCATTTTCATTTTGACTTATTTATTTGCAATATATGTTTTATATGATATCACTATCATTTCGTCGAATACTTTAGTCTAATCATCCATATCATACTGTGTTATTTTCTTAAGAAACACCTTAGATAATAATATTTTGGTAAGACTAAAGAAATATTTGAAATATAAGTTAATTATATGTTTGTACAAATATTCTACTAGAGAAGCTCGAGAAATTTGAAAAATCCAAATTTATTGGTTTAATTTGATTTATAGATTTAAAAATACGACACTAATAGTTTGGTTTGATATTTAAAAAACCTGAACCAACCTGGTCCATGTACACCCCTACATGGTAGTAAAGTATGTCTAATTATGTAGTTTTTTCTTAATTCTATCTATAATTTTAAATAATTATGTATCTTACCACTAATCAAGAGTTTTTTATGTTGAAAAAGATATACCTATATACATGTAATTTTGCTACCAGGTACACTAAAATAAAGAATGAGGTGAGCGAAATGGGTAGAGAGACGAGATGAGAGACGAATGAGATTCGTTATGTATCTCAGATACATGCGGTTGATATAATGTATTTTAAACAAATTACATTTAATTTTGACACTATGTATCTAGAGATACATGTATCTGGACGTAGCTGGATGCACCAAAACCTTGTAAGATTCGTAATACAGCAAACTAGAGCATATCTAAGTAATTAGTTATTAAGCTAGTGAGATTTCTAAGGATAAATTGAAGATTCCTTTAAAACGGGTTAAAATTTGAATATGTTGACATTAATCAATTTAAATTATCTTGAACTCAACCAATGAAATTTTGAGTGATTTGAATATGTTCAGGGACGATTCAACAATTCTGGAGGCCTTAAAGCCAAACTTTAGAGGGGGATCTTAATATTTATTTATTTAGTTTTAGAAAAAAGAAATATTGCCACATTTTTTTATAGGATGCAACTATTTAAATTATTTAGGAACTACTTATATCATATTTTCATCAACTTCTTTTAAAGTTTTTTTCTTGGGAGTTATTTATCATCTAATTACTCTACTCAGTTAGTGACTTATTTGAAGAACAACTCATATTTTTTAATTCAAGATTTTTATTATTTGTTAAACATCTTATATGCATGTCTTTTGGAATTTATTTCTTCAAGTTTACTCTAAAATTGAAATTATATTTACTAGTTGACATATGTAAATTGAATAAATTTTAATATAATAACCAAACAAAGAACATATATACTTATAAACTAAGAATGTCAATTAATAATAACTTTTCAAGGAAAATTATAAAACATGGCTCTTCAACCCAAAAAAAACTGGCTCAAAAATATAAACTGTTGTGTTCCTTTAATATAATGATTGATTGTTTTTAATATAATGATTGATTGTTGGCTTGTTGCACTTTTTGAAGTTTTAAAGTACACACAAAAAAATTAAATGTTGTTCTATTGTAACTTGTAGGCAAGAGTAACTCAATAAGTTTTGCAGAAGAGATTTCAATATTAAAAATTAAAAAATAAATAAAATAGAGAATAAAAATGATAGGCTCATTTCAATGATCGGTAAACAAGTTGTAATATGTAATTCCCGACTCCCCCCTGATCACTAGAGGATTAGATGAATGTTGAATTTTGAGTTGACTATGAAAATAAGAGGATTATATTGATCCTTAAGTAAAGAGCAAAATCAAATTATTAATTAACGTATGATGAAAAAAGGTCTTAGATATAGAGGAGAGCATAATAACATTCACATGGGAGTTTGTTAATGATGTTACCTTCATTCACACACAAACATAACCCTAATTATGATTCAAAAATGCTCATCATCTTCATCTCATGCCTATACACTTTTCAGACTTATTTGACTTACTTCATTCTTCTTTTCATCCTAGGATACCATTTTAGTATGAAGGAAATTATTCTGTGTCGCAAAATTTATATAATGCATCTCAATTCGATTGAAAAAATAAAATAAAAGGGTAATATATACCGTTAGTACATATAATTTTTATATTATTAGATCATTTTCATCTGTGCTAATAAATAATATATCCTATTTTTCAAATTTTGAATCTCATATTTTGAAAAAGACTTAAAATATTATTTGAATGTGTCAAAAAATTAAAATTATACTTTTATCTGTTTCTTTGTTTGTTCATTTATCATGAGTAGGGAAGACACTCAAATGAGTATGTTTTTTTTTGTTTCTTTGCTTAAAAAGGAATTTGAATGTCGAAATTATCGGCAGCAGACAAGGGCAATTCGACTCTACTTTTTTCATGCTATTTAATCAAATCTTTCTACAATCAATTCTTACTTCAGATCCCTCCAAATAAAAAAAAAAATTCTCTTGGTTTAGCAACTTTGGAGGATTTCTAACTAAAGCAATGTTGACAAAAGTTTTTTGTAAGTATAATTTATTTACATATTAGTCTCTTAGTAATATGGCTAGTCTTAAGTTATGTCACTATTTAATTACTAATTCTAAGCTAATTAATCTCTACTTTGTCCATAAGTAAATATGTAAGTTTCAATGTTTCAGTTTGCAAATCTGCATGTCTACATGCTTGAAAAAGACCATCTCAAATGTGTTCATCTTCTTGTTGTTTTTCCATTTTGCTTCTAAATTGCAAGATCACAATTTAAAATGTTACACGACAAATACATTTATAATAAAATTGTAGGTAAACTTCCATGATAAACATGTTATGTAGTGGTGGAGCTATAGCGGGTGGTCTGTTGAACACCCTTTATCGAGAAACTATACTTTATATCTAGAAAATCATATTAGTCATCACATTAAATCTTAAAAACCCGAAATTCCTAGTTTTGCGGTCGGTATGTAATGTAAATGCCTTTTGAGTTTTGTACGTTCTTGTTCAATTTGATATAAAGTTGTGTATGTTTTGAAGGAGAATTTTGAGTCATGATGATGCTGTTAATTAATTTTTGGTAAAAAAATTTCTGAGTATTGTAATGTTAGATTATTTTCTTTTATGTGAAGAATGAAGAAGAACAAGAGGCCTTTAAGCAAAGCAATTAATACTAATGAAAGACGGCACTTGGATAGGTCTCACCTCAAAGTTACGTAATACCGTATTTTATTTTATGCTAATATAATATAATATTTCCCAAAATTGAAAAACAAAAACAAAAACAAAGACAGATCATCTACTTAAACTATCAGCAATATAGAATATGATTCTTAAATTTGCAAATGCTTTTAATTAGCCATATAAAATGGATTGCTATACGTAATATTATAAATTGTAGCTTGTTATTTGGAAGTATTTTTGAGTTGGCTCCTAGCAGTTTGAGAATAAGATATATTGTTAATAAAAGGAACCAAGAACATGGTATGGATCTTAAATTCCCATTAATTTAGGAATAAATTTAGAAAACAAACACATACCCCCTCCTCCCAATTTATATTTTGCACCACTTGACTGAGTACAAAACTTAAAAAAGAAAGAATTTGTGGTCAAAAGTTGTCTCAAACGTTTGTGTGATTACAATAAATCATTTCATTAAAAGTAACATGAGGACTTTAATCTTTGAAACAGACTAAAAAAATTTTTTTTTGTCAAAACGAACAAAAGGAATAGTACAACACTACATAAACATATCAAGTTATGTTTTACATAAAGCAAAGCAATAGCTATCGTACCATATACATTGTCAATAGCCCTGCATGTATAATTCACCCTATGCTTCCATCATCAAGCAGTTAATTCATCTTCTCTTAACTAAATTACTAATTCATCAAGCAGTGTTTTTTAGTAGTATTATTATGTACAATGATATTAAACAAATTAGATATTTAATCAACAAATAAAGAAGTGTACTTCCCCAGGTCAATCTGAAAACAAGATGATGCAGTGGAGTTATTTTCCGTGACTGTTTCTTGTTTGTTCAAATTCGATTCATCGGTAACACCATGTAAGGTGTTTGAGTAATAGTCATTTTCCTCCTCTTGGCTGAGTTGAGAAGCTACAAATTTATGGAGCACTCGCCAATCGGTCACTTGATCAACAACTTGTTCTCGTGTGAGAAGGGAGACAGACTGTTGCAAATTATTGTACACTGAAATTGAGGTGGATGGAACAAGTTTTGGACTTTGTTGGTGGTGGTGGTGATGAGATGGGATTTGGATTTGGTAATTCAAATTATCGATTAATTCCTTCTTGCAAGGGTAATTGTGTTGTGAGACAATATGGTTTGGCATGAATGGAACTTGATCATTATTATTTGGTGACTCCTTCTCACTTTCTTTCCTTGTGCTTGCCATTTTCTTCTTGAAAACTCTACACACCACCCATCCCTCTTCCTGCATGTGTTTTAATTAGTTTATCAACAATCAATATGTAGTTCAATTTGTTCAAGTGTACAAAGGAAATTAATACGCCAAACTCATAAATAGATCCCTAAACTTGTTGGATGTCTCCCTTCAGGTACCTTAACTACGTCATTTTCCTATTGAATCATTGAACCACCCATTATTTTTTCCTATTAAACACTGTTGGCTGGCTGATTTTGATCGACTTTTCTATTGTAAATGGCTTCAATTGTGTTCGTATTGTAATGATTTTGATTGAAGGAATGAAGACATATTGTGTGTTAGTCTCATTTGTTTTCTAATGTGTTCAAATGACTTGAAGTAGAACACAATTATTCTCGACCAACTTCACTATTAATTGAACAAATGACATCTGGAACAACATATGTATCTTCAACCAATACCCCTCACAAAATCTGGTTCCACATCAGCCAACGGTGTTTAAAAGGAAAAAATTATTGGTGGTTCAATAGTTCAATTAAAAAATAGCATAGTTATGATACCTGAGAGAAAAAACTCAACAAATTTAGAGATTTATTTATATATTTGACCAAAACTAATGTATCTTATTACCATGAGGTCATCTAAAAGGTAACAAAATTAATGTAGAATGATAAGGTAGGTGACCTAGTAGAACATGTTAATTTATAGTCTGTTTGGATAAACTTTTAGAAAATAAAAAATGCTTATTTTAGGTGTTTGACCACGTTTTTAGGGGGATTTAAGGGCTTTCTACTAGTAATAGCAAAAGCTATTTAGAGTTTATTTTGAATTGACTTAAAATTGATCAAACTTACTTTAATTTTTAGAAATATTTGACAAAATTAAAAATAACTTAAAATAAACTTTATAATGATTTAAAAAAGATTAAAAACCAAAAATAGGACTCCTTTTACATTTTAGGAGTACTTTTTGACTTGAAAACTATTATTGTCCATCTTATCCGAGCCGGCTCTAAGCTAAACAAAAAAGTACTACTCTTTCTGTTTCATTTTATGTGACACTTCTCGCATTTCGAGATTCAAACAAGTTTATATTTGATTGTAAATTTTTCATAGATTCTTTTAACATTTTAAATTATCAATTATTGTGATTTATAATATTCTTTACGTAGTTTACAAATATATAAATTTCAATTCAAAAAAATTGAAGATTTCATAGGCAAATGTCCAGTCAAAATTAAACTATTTGACTCTCAAAAAATGAAAAGTGTCACATAAAATGAGACAGAGAAAAACTTTTATCCAAAAGCACCTGTGGAATATAGGTCAAACACAAAGTACTGTTCTAAAATTCTAATAACAGGTTAAAAAGGTTTTTAAGATAGATTACACAAACTGTTACTCTCCAAAAATTAGATTTTTTTCCAAAACCACTTCCGACCAAATGATAGAAAATTTTAGAAATTCGACCAAACAAGATATTAGAGTTAGTGAATAACTTGCCTGATGGGCACCATTTGGATCAGTGTGAAGTCGATATTCATGCATAATCCAATCAGATTTTAGACCATGAGGAGCCCTTCCTTTGTAAAAAACCAAGGTCTTCCTCATGCCAATCAAGTCATGATTGGAATATACAGCCTTGTCTCTTCCTGTTGCTTTCCAAAATCCTGCTGTTGTGGCTCTATTGGTTCTTGTGCCAGTTGGATATTTTTTATCTTTGTGGCTAAAGAAGTACCATTCATCTTCTTCTTCTCTCCCTATTCTGCATAATTCTATATAAAAACATAGTTTCATAAGTAGTTATTACTACTCATATTTTTTTTATTTTTGAAATCTCTGCTCTTTTCATTCACTTTTACTTGTCACATTTCGCTTCAACAAGAGTCAAACGACTGAACTTCAACTAATGTTTTTTCATCATATTAGTATAAGAAGAACTAAGACCTAGTATTCGAAGTTCTAAATTTTACTTATATATATGTTAATAGTACCTTGAAGATCCCATGGTTCAATGTTGTAGAGGTTCACCTCTTTAATAACATCTAGGTCAATCCTTGTTGAAGTGATTTTCTTCTTGAGGTAATAATCTACAAGTTCTTCATCAGTTGGATGGAACCGAAAGCCAGGAGGAATCTGTGAAAACGAATTCATTCTACATATATATATATATATCACCTGTATATCCATAACAAATACCACTATTTCAGCAAGACTCAATTTTTTTTTCTTTTAAAGTTTCTTATTATTTCCCACATCATTATAATTGTCTATGATTATGAACAAAAAAAATTTGGATTATTTTTGCAACTAAAAGAGTTCATGTAGAACCATTGATCATAATAAATATAAATACTTGCCACTAATAAAAACGTTTTTACTGTACTACCCTATTTTTTTGCCGCACAAAATAGTATGATTTACCTCATTAATAAAATGTATTATAGAGGTTGAACCAACTAATTAATACACTTCATCAACATGTGAGTGTATCAGGACACCAAAAAGAGGTTTAAAGAGCCGATTAATTTCTAGCAAATATTATTCACATCAAACACTATTTTACCTTTTCCAATCTCTCATGTTGCTTAGTGCTTCAACAAACACAAACAAAGAAGACAATGAAGAAAAAAACACATGATAAAACGTAAAAATAACACTAAAAAAAAATAGATAGTTAATCATAAGCACTTAAGTTATAGAGTATTATTATTGCAATTTCATGACACAATTGAAGAAAAAATAATGTTCATTGATTAATGTTTTGATAGTTGACATCGAGTCTATGCCACTCAATTAAGCATAGTTAATTTATAATCTAATCCATTGAAATGAAATAGTAATTCGCATTTAGGGAGTTTCCGGTCCACATTTAATTAGCAAATTACTGTCCCCTGACTTTCAACATATGTCAAAAAAAAGAATAAAAATGAAATCTTTGTTTCATGCCAATTAAACAAATGGGATTAATTTAAAGGATACTCTAACAAATTAGTACGATTAGTAATTCTTCAACTAAATCCATTTCCAATTACTAGTCTAGTCTCACATGCTTTTAATTAATTAACCAAAGAGAAAATAATACAGTTATTAATCAATGTTTACCAACTATCTCTAAACAGATTATAATTACAAAGCATATGATAGTGTTGGAGTAACAATCATCAAGACGATTATCAAATAAATTAGTGTTTTTCGTTCCACAAGGTTATAATCGCTATAGTGATTGTTCATTCAACTCTTAAAAATCCGGCAAACACATCATCTATATTAGAAATTAGAGTACTTAATACTCGTACAGACAGATGCAACTTATGCTCTATATTTTTAAATTTTGAATTCGCTTCGACTAGTGATGGCCATAAAACTTGTTAAGAAAAGAACAAAAGATGGAGCAAACCTTAATTTCCAAGCGCCTAGATCTGAATAAAGTAGAATTTGAGGGGAGAAGAATAAGGGTTTATGTGGAAAAAAAAGTAGTAAAAGAGAAGAGACAAAATAAGACAACAACACTAGTAGAAACAGAAAAAGAATAGGAAATAAATAGAGTTAAAAGTTGAATGCCTCGGGAATTGTGCTGGATCTCCTGCTGGACCAGATCCCCAAAATGGAAAAAAAAGGCTAAATGGATGAAGGATGAACAAATATGCTTATATAAAGTCATCCCACCAAACACGCAAATAAAGAGAGAAAAGCCCTAATGATGAAGGATAGTGTAATACTATAGTTAGCCTGACGTGAGATATAAAGTATAATAATTTCATAAATAAAATGTAAGATTATTTAAGATACTAAGCCGTTTTGAGATTATTTATTCCACAATTCATATCTTAGTGATGGAATGAGTTATTCCATATACATAGTGCTTATTTGGAAATATTTTGTTTCTAACAAAACGACCCCTTATTAGTTGTTTGGTGTGAAAGTTTAAGATAATCATTAGATTATCCTACAATTATATCATATTGATAGAATACGTTAATCCCATATACATATGGGTAGGGTTTTTCATGGTTATGGACTTATGGTTAAAAAATTAAATCGAATTACAATATGAAACAAACCGATTAAAATATATTTGGTTTGGTTTGATTATATTTAGTTTTACATTTTGAAAATCGATACTATTTGGGTTAGGTTTGATTTTATTAAAAAATAACCGCAAAAATAATTGATTCGGAATATATATATATATATATATATATCTTTGAAATATTATATAAAATATGAATATTTCATTGAATTTTAATAAACTCTAGCCTTTAACTTTACCATTTTCTTAAGTCAAACACTTAAATTTTAGTGTATAATTACTTTAGTATTGCTTAACTAAATCACTTGTTCATCATGTACTAGGTATTTTTGTCTGTCGAGATACATATGCCCTTGAAAAAAAATTAACTTTCAAATCGAAAAAATCAAAAGATTTCAAATCAAATTGACGGTTAATTATTTTTTTAAAAAAATTGATTTAAAAAATTTAAAAGCAAAATAAATTTATTTGATTTTATTTTTATTCAATAACCAATTCAAATCAAACCATCATCTTTATTTTATTACCACAAGATTTTCTTTTAAGGAAAATATAATTTTTAAAATGTGGTTATGTTACATATAAAACTAGAGGGACGAAATGAAATAGAACAAGTAATACTATAGTAAAGTTTAAAATTTAATTAGTTGATCTCATATTTATAAATATATGATGTCATTTTGCCGTTGACATAGCAGAATTGTTGGGAAAGCTTTTGGGTGTCAATAAAGGTGCCGAAAAAACAAGCATGAGCGTGTGGGCAATTGCCACCTCCACTCACCCACCATTGATTACAACTTTTTTTTAAAATAAAAATAAAAATTGTCCTTATTAAAGTAAATGCGTCAATGAAAATGTGTTTATACTTTAGTCTCCAAACTTCCTCTTATATAATAAGAAAATGTATAGATAGAAGGAGAAAGAAATAAGTTGCTCAAATAGTAAACATCTTCCATATTAAAATTATAGATTTAATAATCAAGAAAGTGTTAAGGATGAAAAACTCATATGAAAGATTAACAAAAAGAGATAATGTAAAAAATATTTACATGATCGATTGAAAATATTGTAATAATAATTTAAAAAAAAGAGAGATCGGATGAGAATATAATTTTCTTTCTATTTCAATGTCCAAAAGTCAAATCAATAATAATAGGAGAGAAAATAATGAAAAAAGTTCCATTCATGAAAAGAAAGAAGGGTAAACGGTGAATGTCAAAGAGTACTAGCTAGCCAATCAACAGCTTAATTCAATTTGCACAGATCCATCTCCCCAAAGACCCTACAAAAAGGCACCTTACTCAAATTCATTATTATTTTCGGTTCCAATTTATATTATATAGTTTAATTTAATACATAATTTAAGAAAAAAAAATTTATGCTTTAAAATTTTTCATCGATATTTATATAATTATAAGTTACTTTTAAAATTAAATTGTTACCACTGAATATAAAAATATATAAATTGTTTTGGGAACTACTAAAATAAAAATAAGTCATATTATCATATAATTGAAATAGAGTAACTAATTAAATAGTATATGTGAGTGAAAATTTTATGTCTTGTTACCTCCCCAGAGTACAGTGAAATACTTTAAATCCTTTCATTGCCAAGAAGTGTTCTTTCAGAAGCACTTTATCATATTAAAAATGAGCTTACTCTGAAATAAATAAAATAGTGGATAAATAAATTCTGAATAAGAATTAAAAAATAATAATTTCTTGTTTTTGTTTATTAAGGTGGTGACGTGATGAGACGGTATTGAGGCAAAGAGTTATAGGATTGGACAAATATCTCCTGTCTAAAAGAGGTAAAATAAAGGAGGAGCAGACAGAACAGACAAATGACATTCTCCCTACTCCTTACCCTTTCGTGTATATCGAATTATTATATATCATGTTTTTTTTTTTACTTTTATTTTGATATTATGGTAGTATTTGATATAGACTATAGTATATCTTTTTTTAATACTTAATATGGTTTAAGATTATTAAAAACAATATACTAATATATCGATACTATTATCAAAGTATAGAATCACATAAATAACATATATATGTTCCAAATCCACCCCTAATTATTACACTCGCAAAAAAACATCTTTTTAGTATGTCTTATTGTCACTAATAAAGTTAACCTTTTCGGTTGTTTCATGGATGGAGTTTTTGTAATTGATCAATGGTAAAAGTTGGGGATTTATAAATGAACATTGAAGTAGTTGAATGAACGAAAAGACAATATGATTCGACTTAATAACCGATAAGTTAAGAATCATAACAATTCATTAATGGGAATCTCCTAATTATGAACTTAACCTCTCCTTTTCCTTTTTCCATGTGTGAAGTTAATTAACCCCCTCAACTAATTTACTAATGAATTCCACCTTCCTAAAGAAATCATTTTAAGTAATAATTATGAAAATGCACCAACAAAAATAAATAAATCACAACTCCACTTAGAAATATTAGGTATGATATGCGCGATTACTATATCACTTTAAAGGGTAAAATGAATCAAGTTAAAAATAGAAGTAGATGTTGGATTGCAAGTAGAATATATATATACACAATAATTATCACATGCTAAATATATAAATGAACAAATGAAAAACATGATTGAATTGTTGTTGCCCGTGAGGAATACGTTTCCTACACCACCACGGACTCTCATCATTATATACATATAACCTAGTCTACTTGTATAGAATATCACCATTTCAGCTCATGGAGAGTCGTCAAACGGAGCTTCAACCAATCCAATGGCCGAAACATAATTTTTATTAATTAAATTTAAAATATGAAAAAAATAAAAATATAAAGAGGTTCAATATTTATTTTATATATATATAAACATAAAAAAAAGTAAAAGTATTTTAGTTATATAAACTATATAATTTTTTATTTCATAAATTTGAATAAACTCCGCTTGGATTAATTAATAAAGAAACATGTTGGCTGGCTCTAGTTGAGCCCAAGTAAATAAGGATCCGGCTTGAGATGAGGAAAGTGAGTGGACCCAAAGAAGGAGAAATAATGGGGGGTTTCACGTGGCGGCTCCAACGGTCTAGCGTGAGCCAGCCACTATCATTAAGTTCACTTCAATCATATTATTTCCACTCCCCAAAACACCTTTGTTTATTGCCCACTAACATCTTTATCCCGTCCATTTTTATTTTGTTTGTTATTTTTAGTATCTGTTTTTGGTCTTCAGAGTTATTTATATGGTTTAACTTTTCCTCTTCTTCTTTTTTTTACATATTTAAAAATAAAAATATATTTTTTAATCACCTTAATTTTATCAAAAGAAAAATCGCTTTTGATAATAATAATTAATATAATATAGTAATATTATTTATGTGTTTTGATAGAAAAAATTATCTTTTAATTCCGGACTCAAATAATATATATTACCTGTTTTTTTCAGAAACCCGGCCAAAGATTTGTTCTTTCCAGCGAAATCTGCCACTTAGATAATCCCTTAAATTGGCTAAGCCTGCCGAATGTATGATCTTTTCCAAGTTTTTATGTCTAATTATCTAAATTTAAATTGATCGCGTTACTAATTTTTTTTCGATAATTAATTTAAAAACTATTGACTTTATGATGATTAAGTAATTAATCATGGTGTACCAAAGAAAGTTGTCGAGCAAATGCTAGAGGTTGCTGGGATTCTTTCAGGCTACCAATACAAGAGAAGGTAAAATTGTATCCAATAATAATTATAAGGATTTTAATATATATAAAAGTACGATTAACTAACTTATTTGTAAAAATATAGTCCAAAACTTGCCTTACAAATCTTTAGCCCAAAACATAATCCGATATACATTATTAAAATAGTATATAAAATCAAGTGCCTTCTTTGACCTTTTCCTCACAAGTCATTATTCACTCATGCTTTAACATTTTGTCTTTGGTTCAGCTGAATGCTGATATGGACTCTCATGAGTTTATTTTTTCCTATAAAGGCAGTTGTCCTTAGATTTTTATTATTATTTGTTGTGTTATGTATTTTGATTATATTAATTGTTGTAGTTGTTGTTCTAATACTAACTAGCGTTCGGTATGTTATTTCTCGTATTTTTATTACTTTCTTTTATTGCTTAAATTGGACCAACCCCTCCTCCTCCCCCCTTAAGTGGAGGGTCTACGGATGAAAATAATCTCTTCTACTTTGTAGAGAAAAGATGTGTGTACACTCTACCTTTCCATTCCCATTTTGTGTGATTATATTAAGTATGTTGTTGTAATCAATTTGAACTAGCTTTTATTTAGTATTTTAAAAATTAATATAGCTATTAAACTCTTTTTGTAATGTTCATTAAGATTTTTTTTTTAAAAAGTTTTTGAAACACTTATTTCTGAATCAAAATAATAAAAGATAAGCCAAAAATAGTATAATTTATCACTTTTTCTTATATATCATAAATTATAAACTCATTCAAACCGTCCCATTATATCTTTTCTTTTCTATGAAGATGGGCACCACAAAAAAAACTTTTCGTATACTTAATTTTGATAAAAGTTGGATCAAATAAATATCAAGGCCAGAACTGAATTTAAATGCACTTATTTTGCTTTGTGAAGAATATGATGTAGTGG